CCCTAAGTTTGTCTCCGTTTTACAAGTCTCAATGAATGAAAACTCTGACACCCACAGCTTTGACCCTGCTTCTTCTTCTTCCTCGTTTCTTAGCCACCTCTTCTATACACGATCTCCTTCATAGACAAGGCTTGCCTGTGGTCTTTTTCCAGACAACGTTAAATCCTACAAATTCGACGCTTCAAATGGTCGCCTCGAAGTCACCTGGAAACTCCGTGCATGGCTAAGTTCGATGGCAGGGTGCACTTTGACCGTGGGTGACGCTAACCTTAGCTACGGTGGACTCGTTGGAGTGGAAGGACTGTCCCCAGGAAGAGCTGTTCGTGTGGTTTAATGTTAAAGGTATTCGTGTTAAGGATCCTTCTTCTGGGCTATTTTGTTCGATATCGGTGTTGCATTAGCAACTGTCGCTTTCTCTCTTTGAAGATCCTCCTGTTTGCAAGCATCAAGGTAACTGGTTATTGATTTGGATTTGTCAGGAAATAACTTTAGAGATCTTTGAAGATTTAGTATGTTTTTTTATTAGGATTGTGTTTTGATTATGTTTATTGAATTCAGAAGTTGTGGCAGAAAATCTTGGGAGGAAGATGGCCATGGGATTTCAAGTCCAGAGGTGAAGAGTTGATTCATTTTCATTGCTTCATTTGAAGAGAGATTTTGTTTCCCTTCTTTTTGCCTTTTTCTTTCATGGTATTTGTTACGGGTGTCATTATCGGATATCGGATATTATCCGATCTGAATTTTCGGATCCGAAAATTTCGGATATCTAAGTAATGATCCGTATCCGATCCGAAAAAATCGGATATCGAACATTCGATCCGAAATTTCGGATCGGATATCCAAATATCGGATCCGAATCCGATTTTTGTTAGAACAAAAAAAATCTCATTTTTTCTAATTTTTTTATTTATCTTATCCACCCAAACACTTGAAATTAAATCAGATAATTAACAGGGTACTTTACTATTACTTGTTACGGGATATGATCTTATTCCCAAACGAATATATTTGATTAAATATGTAATATTACCATTTTAAATTAATATTTTTATTTCTACCAATGTTAATGCCCTCGTCTTTTTTTAGTTGTTCATAAAAATTAACAGAAATTAATACTAATTCCAAGATTGATGAATGTAAAGAACGCTATATATATTCCAAGATATACGCACTTCTCATGCCCTAATGCACCAATCTCATGTGTCCTACGAAATACGATGGCACCATTATAAATCTTGGTAGAGTTATATTCAGTGAATTAATCGAATAGTATTCCACTGTTCCGTTGACGAATCATGTGGCATCATTAGCAATTCTAGCTTGATACAATTGGTGTATTCTTTGTTGCATGGTAGAATGGAGATTTTCGTGGCAATTGTTATGGAATATCTGGCTTTTCGTGGGATTATGAGAACATTTGATGACTGGTGTGATAAAAAAGTAAGCTGAATGTTTCAGGATCTTCTTTTGTAACTCTTTTTGCTTCTTCTGTGAACATATCAATGCTTTACATTTGTGGAAAGTCCATATAACATAGGTTGTATAATATAATTACGAGTCTAAATTATTGGAACTTGCAACGAACAGAACCATCAGGCAGAGAATATGAAAGCATTTCCGCAGATAATTTTATTGATATTACGTATCATAAATTTATTTAAGTTTTTCAAGGACATGGTCTAATCGGGAATAACATGTCATTTTTGGGTAGCGCTAGTATTTGATCCTTGAAGACCGCAGCAAACGAAGCAGGTAGGAATTAGGACAAAATGAGTCGAAGGATGTCCCTATAAAACTTGAATGATTTATGGGTTTCTTCCAAACAACAGCCTTGTCATCTCTAGAAGCAAAAAAAGGAAATGACAGAACAAGATAATAGCCCAAATAGCTCTGGGCTAATAATATAGCCCAATTTTTTTTTCGGGTTTTCGGATAATCCGAAATTGAATTTTGATCGATCCGTATTCGATCCGAAAATTCAAAAAAAAAAAAAAAATTGGATACCCGATCCGAATTATCCGAAAATTGAAAATCGGATCGGTTATCCGAATTTTCGGATCGGATCAACGGATTAGATAGGTCGGATCGGGTTATTTTGCACACCCCTAGTATTTGTAGAGATGTGTGTATGCAAAGATGGAAATTTGAAGATGAAAGTGATAAAATTTTGGGGTTTATTGATCTATTTTTACCTAAGCGAATTCAATGATTAATTTTTGTGTAAACTACACGTTTAGCACCCTAACCATCACTTATTTTGGTCATTCGATTATTTTTTAAAATCATACATAATCTTTAGTTTTGATTTTATTTTAATCATCCGTTGTCAAAAAATTAATAGTGATGCTGATATGTCATAATTGAAAAAATTAAAAATACCACATCAACCGTTTTGTTAATTTTTTTATTGTGGGTGACCAGAATGCAACCAAACATAAGATTATATAGATTTAAAAAAAATTAGGAGATCAAAACGAAACAAGAATAATAATTAAAGTATTAAACATGTAGTTTACCCTAATCAGTTATACTCCGTAAATAAAGATATACTTTGGTTACAAATTTTAATACTGATTCATATAATATATTTTTATTATTTCATCTAAATCCGTGATTCATTATCAATCTATGTTCGTAATAATTAAAATTTTTAAAAAATATCAACAATCCTTACCTAACTACGATCTTTTATTACAATCTAACAACATGAGAGAAGTTCGAGGGAAATGCAGTTTAAATAATTTAGAAATCTTTAACATTGGGTGCCTTTGGAACAAGGATTAGGTATGTGTCTGCTTAGCCTTATATTGCGACTTAAATATAGCAAACAACTGCCATTACACGGTCCACCGTATATGTGTATATATACATAAAAAGGAAGCTTGGAAGCCATCTTGACTACCAGCATATTTTTAATAGAGTTGGCTTGTTGTGGGTTTGAAAACTTGGAAATTTTCCCATTTGTATGGGACTTTTAATGTTGATCAACTGGTTTTAGTGTAATAAAATTTTGAGTTGAGATGGAATCCGGCGTACCTATTTATATGTTCGCAACTGTTGATGATAAAGATGGTCTCGTGCATCGTTAACCGATTATTCATTCTGATTGAACGAGGAGTCATGATCGGTGAGAAAACGATAGTTGATCAATGTTTTGTATTGAAGAGATTTGATCATGAAGAAGACGACACTATAAAAATAGTGAGGATCAAGTTCCTTTTCCAATTTTGGTTGGGTTATTTATAGTGATATTTAATGAGTGTGCCAGTCGTAGGGTTATTGTGAGTATTTGTAGGCTGACTGGCTTCATTAACCCCCGAAAAATGTCATCTCTAACTCGCATCATCCACCGCTCCTTCTACAACCTCAATCCTGCAGCTGGACAGCGTTCGAAAAGTCTGCAGCTGGACAGCGTTCGAAAAGTCGCCGGTGATCTCTACAATGAACGCGTCCTCAAGCGTCTCGTTGGAAAATTAAAAAAATCTTGCGAATACAGTCGCTTTCGCAGACGAAACGGCATCTGTGAAGATATTGTTCGCCGCCTTGCTTCAGCTGGACGCTTCCGATGGATGGAAGAGATCCTAGAAGTTCAAAAGAAATACGATGACATGTCCAAAGAAGGCTTTGCTTCTAGACTAATTCATTTGTATGGAAAAGCAGGCATGTTTGAGCATGCTTACAAGGTGTTTGATGAAATGCCGAAGAGAGGGTTGTTGTCTTTCAATGCTCTTATGGGAGCTTGCGTGAATGCCAAAAAGTTTGATGACGTTGACCGGTTTTTCAAGGATTTGCCGCCAAGTTGTCGATAGAGCCAGATTCGGTTTATAATACAGTTATTAAGGCTTTTTGTGAGATGGGTTCTTTAGATTCTGCTAGATTAATGCTTGATAATTTCTTTAAGAATGGTAAGCTTGGTGATGGGGAGAAGATGTGGGTTAAAATGGTGGAGAAAAATGTGGAGCCTGATATTAGGAGTTATAATTCTAAGTTGCTTGGGTTTGCAAAGTGCAAAGAGAATGAAAGAGGCAATTAACTTGGTTGAAGAAATGAGGAGTAAAGGAGTCGAACTTGATGTGTTTACCTTCACTTATATGATTAGAGGGTTTGTTAACGAGGGAAAATTAGAAGAAGCTAAAGAGTGGTATAGTCAAATCGGAAAGAATGACTGCGCTCCGGATAAGCTTACTTTTATAATATTAGTCCCCTTCGTTTGTGAGAAGGGTGATTTGAGTTTTGCCATTGAGCTGTGCAAGGAGATTTTTGGTAGGAAAAAATTGGTTGATGTTGCATTATTGCAGCAAGTGGTGGATGACTTGGTCGAAGCCTCCAAAATAGAAGATGCAGAGGAACTCGTGAAACTTGCCAAGGAAAATACTTACGTCGTTATAAGCCATGCCGGCAGAGTAGTGCCAGGTTTTACCAATGCTATTTTGTTTGATCTTTTTATTTAATTGAATATAAAGCATATAGTTTTTTTACCACCTGCAGTCGGAACTACTATCGAGTTAGAGGTGGAGATGATATTGATCTGTTTTCTTATCAGTGATTAAGTTTTCAATGATTTACTTTGTCTTCTTATTTATCATCTGCTATAACCTCTAGCTTTTGGTATCGAACCTTTAAGTTACACGATGAATTGAATTTGAAACCGAAACTTTGATGATAATCATCTTTGTAGTGCTGTTGGTATTTTGTAGTAGTTCTTTTTTACCGTCAAATGAATTGTATGATTTGCATCCGTTCTCTCTGTTCTCTCTGTCTTTCATCTGTGCAATCTCAATATGAAACTGGAGAAACTGGAAAACAACGTTAGTCCTGCCCGTAGTTAGTGTTACTTGAGTGATACTCGGGGGTTCTTCTCCTGTGCCTATGAACTGATGAGTAGATGAATGATGGCTTGTTTACAAATAAAACTTGGATCATACTCTTATTAACTTTTCCCTCTTTTTACCTGAAACTAAGGTCTTTCAATTGAGCTGACAGTGACCTGAACGTGCTTAAACAAACAAACAATCAAGTTTCAATTTTGTAAATAGACAAAAGATTCCCTTTGGATAGCATAGAAATGAAAGTGTTTCTGAGGACGATGAACAAGGTTTTACATCAAAATTCGATTAACCAATTCTCTTAGCCAAGCTTGGCAAGAAGATCGTTCAAACTAGATACAGTCTGAGCATAATACTTCTCTGCTTCAGGGGTGCTCTTGATCTTGGCTGCATGGTCAAGCTGTTAGGAATAAGAAAGTTCCACATCAGAAATACATGATGGTTTACCATATCAATTGAGGCAAACAATTATGCAGCAAAACCCAAAGGAAGAACTTTGAAACTTACATCGTCAATGGTATTGAAGAGCTTCTTAGTAAGGTCCTTGAGAGTTTTCTTCTCATCTTTGGGCTTGGAATCAATGACAGTGTTGAGGTCATAGCGGAGATACTCGGCCTTGAGACGGAGATCATTCATGACATAAGGCCAGGCTTTTTTGTCAATCAAGCTCTTGACACCCACAATGTCCTTGGCTGACTCCTTTGCTCTCTGTGCTGCCTGAGCCGGAGTAAGTGGTTGGAGGAAGAACCTGTTTTTGTATGGCAGATCAAGGTCTCTTGGCTCATCCGAGTTCAGAGTTCCAGCTACCAACATTTTGATTTGGTCATCAAATTACCGAGTTCCAAAATGCATGAAATCTATCAATAGTAAAGAATCGACGACTTACGCAATCCACCCGAGGGTGGGGGAGGTCCGCCAACCTTGATGCTTCTTGCATCGGCAAGAACAGCTTGAACAACGGAGCCAGTGGCCAAACCAGCAGCAACAAGACCCAGTATGGCTCTGCGTCCGGTCTCAGGGTCAGCCGGTGCTTGATGGGCTCTGACAGTGAAACCAGACCTACTCACAGCCGCTCCGTTGTTGCTGACAATGTTCAAGCGGGTTTGGCCACTGATTTGGAGGCTGCCGTCCAGGACAGCCTGTGAAGAGCCACGAAAACCAGCCATAGATGCCATTGCCTGTGCCATCTCCGCAACCAAGGTGTTCTTTCTCTTCTTTTTTTTTTTTCAATCTGAATGAGCCAAATGTAGAAAATGTTTGTTCTGGCCTCGGGTTATTTGGGGGTGTTGAATTGGAGTCGTGATTTTTTCTTTCTGTGATGTAGATTGGCTGTGGTTTGTGACACCTTATCTGCAATTTTCTATTTCGGATAAGTCGGATGTGGTCTTAACCAATTGCACTTTGACATATGGACATGTCGGATGGGGTTTCACCGTGACTTGGTTCGGCTTCTGACACATGACTGTGCAAACCATGGTTTCCTTGTTCAGTATGTGGTTAACTAATCAAGAAAGGGATGATCTATCTCTGGATTCTCTACCAGGGTTAACATTAACATCCCCTGTTTAAAGAGTTTTAATTTTTTAGTGACGGAAATTATATCCTAATTATTAATAATATTCATTATTATAAAAATAGTAATATTTAAAATCATTCTCTAATCTTTTACTATTTAAGTAATCGATAATGAAACTATTAATAAGAATAACAAGAAAAAATAAACATCTTTGCCATCTTATCTAAGAAGCTGTACCTAGTGGGAGTAATAGAAACAAAACAGCAACAATAGTCAATAAAATTGAAGGTAATTAATTATGTAGTTACGTTCATTCAATTCACGAATTAAAACGATTAGTCAATTATATTTAAATCTAATTATCACATAGTTTTTCAAATATATCTTTAACAATTTAATTTTGTTTTGTGAGTAGGATTTAAAAAAAATGATATTTAATAAATTTTAAAATTAATGATAGATCAAAGAAGAAAAGTTCAAGTTACTTGTTAGGTTATTTCTAACTCTTCACCGCATCAACATAATTGCATTGATAGCTTGCATTATATTGATGACAGCTTGTTGTGAGATAATTCTCCTTGAGATTTAAGTCTACTCAGATGATCTTATAAAATTTGAAGGTAAAAATAAATTATATTTTGGATGATCACTCTAGCCATGATTGTAGGTATTGAATAGAAATCATCTCTCTTTTATGAGAAAATTGGGAAGTCCTTCAATCCCATTCACACATTCATAAGAGTTAAAAAAACATTTGATTTAAGAAATATACGATTATTTGACACATTAAAATAATATGTTCCATAATGTGTCAAATAATCGTACATTTTAATAATCCAATTCTTAAAATTAATGTTTAGTTTAGAATTATGTTTAGGAATTGAATTGGGGGTGATAAGCTAAGTGGGTGGCCAATCTGCCATGGCTTGGTTACCGCTCCTTGAAGCTTAGGGTATTTTTGATTTCTTATTGTACCATGAACATGCTCTTTAATATTTTATTCTTATACTTTGTTGCTCTAGTCCAGTGCAGTTGCTGCTTTAGCTTCCTAGGTCTTCACCATCTTATTATATTTATCTTTAAAAACACACATTTGAAGAACAGATGATTTATTGTTGCTGCCAAACTCTATTTGGAAATGGTTACAAATAAGATAGCTCCTTTGCTATCTTGGATGGAGCTCGGTAATGGTAACCCCGTTCTCCGAAACTACTGTGACTTCCTTTTTCGATTGACAGGATCCCGTAGCCCCGGAATTCAAGTCTTCCGACCATAGCATCTCTATCTCCGATTGAGCGCTGCCGTGCATAAAAAATGCAGGCTGTGAAGGTACCGGAAGAGTGACAGAGTAGCTTGTAAGCATCAAAACAACCGATGCCATGTTCGGTCTCTCCTACATCCGCTTGAACGCAAAGCAATCCGACGTGTAAGCATCTCATCAGCTCGGTCGTCAAACCATCTCGCAGCGCCGGATCGACGAGCTCCAATGCTGTCTCATCTTTCCAACTCCTCCATGCCATGGTAAGATTTGAGAAAATTTTGATTCGAATCACAAAATCACATAAATAAAAAGGACATTGTTATTAATATTGTTACTTACATAGCTGTCGTAACCGGTTTTCATCCGGGCACGAAAAATTTATTTACTTGACGGGAAAATTGATGTAAATAAATGGTTTTTGAAAATAATTTGGGAGTCGCCATCGGCCTTTTTGGGTCAGGTAGGTCGAATACCTAAAAATTATTTTTTTTTAAAAGAGTTTTAAGAAAACACCAATTAAAAAATGAACTGATCTGCGTTATAACCAAAAATTCGTTCTTTTTAAAATAAAAGGGATTCGTGGTCGATTACGTTTAGGGAAGGATTAGCACCCCTACAACGCCCAAAATTGGTACTTTTTAATTATAAATGTCTCTATTAAATATTAAAAAATTTAAAATATATTTAATTTATAATCCTATTATTTCCAACTTTAAAAAAAATATTTATTTAAAAAAAATATCAGAAAAGGACTTCTAGGTGCCTTAAGACAGCTCTTTTCTTTGATATTGATTAATTTACATAAAATTAAATAATATTTTTTTATAATATTTAATTTTAAAATACCAGAATAGGACATCCAGTTGTATTAAGACTGTCCTTTTCTTCGATTTAAAAATAAAATATTAAAATAATTTATTTGAATAAATAAATATTTATTTATTATTTATGACTATATAATAAAAATATTTAAATATATAAATAAGTAAAATTAAAATAAAAATACAATTGGAACTATATATTTAAAAGCAATAAAATAAATGAAAACATTTAAAATAAATGACTAAATTATAGTAAAAATAAAATTAAAAACCTAATTCATAATTAATCAAAATTATAGGGATTAAATATGCTATTTCTTTATTCTATAATTTTAGTGACTAAAATAACTTATCTAAAATTCGGATATTAGAATAAAATAAATTAAAAATATAAACTAGGGATTAAAATATTATTAAATTAAGGGATTAATTCTGTTATTTATCCTAAATATATTATTTTAACAAAAAGGACTAAAATAAATAAAATTAAAATTTCGAGATCAATTAAAAGTATTATGAATTCGATTTAGTGACTAGAATGTAAAGTTTACAAGTTGGAATGGCTTCGGACGGGGTTTAACTATTATCTAATTACACGCATAGTCCTTCCCGAAACGACGTCGTTCGGGAAGGACTATATAATGTCCAAAACGGCTGGCCCGAAGGGCCAGCCTTCATTTCAAATTTTTTTTTCTCTCTCAAGCAGAGAGAGAGCCGAATTCTCTCTGGCCTCTCTCTAGCTTCCCTCATCGGAGGGAAGCCGGTCACCGGACGGCAACCGTCTGCCGCCGTGACCATCACCGCCGGCCACCGCATCCGTGGCAGGAAAATTTATTTTTTACAACGTTAAATAGATCGGAACGTCCTAAGGGCGTTTCCGGTGTTCTTTTTCCTTAAAAAGCTCCTAATCGGAGCAAATCTACAAAAGTACCTTCGGTTTTTCGAAGGTTTTGGTGAGATCCGGTGGTCAGGGCTTCCTCGATAGTTTCTCTCTTCTTTTTCTTTTTTTCTGTTTCTTTGCTGCTGAGATCGTTGGTAGTAGTTTTTTTTTATCATGTTTCTGTTTTTATCTCCTCTCCGTGTATTTTCTGTCTCTTTGTCTCTGTCTCGTTTGGTTTTTTTGCAGGTTGGGTGATGGCTTTATAGCCATCACCGTGCTCATCTCGGACCGGTCCGAAGGATAGAGTTCGGTGAGTCACGGACTTCCAGTGGGACTCACCATTTGGGAAATACGTGTGCGGCTACGGCCGATCTTCTGGTGCCTCGGTTGGGACGGGCGCGGTGAAGACGGCAAGAACAGCAGCGGCGGGGCGCGTGGCCCTAGGGTATCATACCTAGGGTTTCCATCTGGAGGTTCTTGGACCGTTGGATCATGCCAGATCCAACGGTCAATCTGAGGCGGCTGGGTAGAGGCGGCTAGGGATTAGGGTTAGGAAACCCTAACTGAAACCCTAAATGTTTTGGGTTTCAGTTTGGTTTGGGCTGGTTGACGGGCTTGTAATTTTTATTAATAATATTAGTAATAATAATAATATTAGTAATTATTATAAGATAATATTTAATAAAATAATAATATATTTATAAATAAAATAAATTAATATGGGTAAAAAATTAGTATCTTCAGCTGCCCTCTTTGCTCATTTGTGTTAACAAGAATAGGGCAAAGATGAAAAGATAATAAATTTTTTTATCCATTTGGCTTCACTTGATCATATGGAGATATTGGAGATATTGAATAAATTCTTCTCTTTCTTTCAAATGAGTTCTTCTCATTATGAACTTTCCACTGGGGATGATGTTGACCTCTTTCTTTTTGTGATAGAGTCATTCAAAAGGTTGAATAAGCTCTTGATGAGTTCTTCTCATTATGAACTTCTTCATCCTTCTTTCGATGAGTTCTTCTCATTATGAACTCTTTCTGGCAAGGCTGATCCATCAATTGATGAATTCATGTAAAAGGTTGAACAAGTTCTTCTCATTATGAACTTCTTCTTCCTTCTTCAGATGAGTTCTTCTCATTATGAACTTTCTCTGGAAAAGCTGATCCATCAAGTGATGAATTCATGCAAAAGGTTGAACAAATTCTTCTCATTATGAACTTCTTCTTCCTTCTTCAGATGAGTTCTTCTCTTTATGAACTTTCTCTGGAAAAGCTGATCCATCAAGTGATGGATTTGAGCAAAAGGTTGAACAAGCTCTTCTCATTATGACTTTTCTTCCTTCTTCAGATGAGTTCTTCTCTTTATGAACTTTCTCTAGAAAAGCTGATCCATCAAGTGATGGATTTGAGCAAAAGGTTGAACAAGCTCTTCTCATTATGAACTTTTTCTTCCTTCTTCAGATGAGTTCTTCTCTTTATGAACTTTCTCTGGAAAAGCTGATCCATCAAGTGATGGATTTGAGCAAAAGGTTGAACAAGCTCTTCTCATTATGAACTTTTTCTTCCTTCTTCAGATGAGTTCTTCTCTTTATGAACTTTCTCTGGAAAAGCTGATCCATCAAGTGATGGATTTGAGCAAAAGGTTGAACAAGCTCTTCTCATTATGAACTTTTTCTTCCTTCTTCCGATGAGTTCTTCTCATTATGAACTTTCTCTGGAAATGTCAATCCATCAATTGATGAATTTAGGTAACAGGTTGAACAAGTTCTTCTCATTATGAACTTCTTATTCCTTCTTCAGATGAGTTCTTCTCATTATGAACTTTCTCTGG